ACGTTTGATCCAGTAGAGGATAGGATTGGGAAACTCATGTCTGATTCCTATCTTAGCAAGAAAGTCAAACACATGTGCTGTCACTCTTAATAACTTACTCAAGTTGGAATAATTGTGAGGATTAATAGCTAAGATTCGATGAGGTTCTGGTTCTTTCATGGGAGTAGTGATATTGGTCACTATGACTTGTGGCTTTTGTTTGGGCCACTGACCACCAACAAGCCATGAAGGTCCATTAAACCACATCGAAGACTTGATAAGTTGCTTTAGTGTTAATCCTCGAGATAAATGATCTGCAGGATTGTCCTTAGTAGGAACATGTCTGAATTTATATCTAGCAGATAATTCATGAATTTCCCTAACACGATTACTGGCGTAGGGAGTTTTATTATTGTTGTCTTACCCATTGTAAGACTGCCTCATTGTCTGACCACACAACAATCTCACCAAAGTGGATATTATTGAGTGTCCCGGCCAGGCAATGAGCCAATCTGACTCCCACCAGCAATGCAGTCAACTCCATTTGAGGTAAAGATCTCTTCTTAATGGGAGCAACTCTTGCTTTAGATGTGAGCAAAATTGATTCTGCACTATTGACTAAGTAGGCTACAGCGCCATACGCTTTGCCAGATGCATCGCAAAAAAACGTGCAAATTTGTGGGCAAGCTTTGTCCTGAAGCATTACGAGGAAATTTCAAAACACCTAACTGATTGAAATCCGTTGTATCTGCCATTTATCTTGCAACTCAATTGGCAACGGATCATCCCATCCCATATGTTTCTGCCAGCATTCCTGCATTAGGAGTTTGCCCTTTATTAATATAGGACTAAGTAAGCCTAAAGGGTCAAATGATTGACTGACATACGAGTAATTTTCTCATGGTAAGGGATGAATTATCGGTTTGTACTGACTTGACATTAATCTCGTCAGTACTTGTGTTCCATTCCACACCCAGAACTTTTGATTGATTAGGTACCTGATAATCTGGAAACTCTTTCTCGATTAACTGGTTTAATGATTTATTATTTGAGGCCCATGATTGTAGTGGCATATTGGCTCCTAATAACTCACGGTTAGCCTCATGGCAGATTTCTACCAAATTGGATTGATCATTTGTAGTTCCCTGGAAATTGTCGACATACAAGTTGTCACTGATTTCTGCCTTATAAGGGCTATTTGACTTCCTCAAATGTGTATCTAATGTTGCTTGCAGTAGAAACGGGGAGGAAGTCGCTCCGAATAGCACTGAGGCAAAACGATAAGTTATGATATCACTGTTAGGTTCCAGTGGGTCCTTAATCCAGAGAAACTTGGTGTAATTACGATCCTCCTCTTGTAAACCTACTCTAAGGAAAGTTTTACTGATATCAGCAGTATAAGCAAAAATACCAGTACGGAATCGTAATAACACATCATGTAGCCTTTGTGTTAGGCTAGGTCCCGTTTGGAGACATTCATTCAAAGACACACTGCTTGGCTTCACTTTAGCACTACAGTTGAAGACAATACGTATTGGTATTGACAATGAATCTTTCACCACAGCGTGATGGGGTAAATAGTGACCTATTTTCCGGTCAACATTATAAACAACTTTGATAAATTTACTGTTGAGTTGTTGTTGGATTAGTTGATGATACATGTTCAGTTTGTCTGGCTGCTTCTGCAGTCATGTTAATTGAGACTGTAATTGTGAGGCTGCCATAAAATAATTAACTGGAAGTTGTGGATGATTCAACTTCCATGGTAGTCTCACCCAGTATTGTTTATCTTTATAGACAACTGTATCCAGATATTGCTGGTAAGTCCACATATCATCAGGGCTTGGTTGTTCAGGGATAATACCTAAAGTGTCTAAATCCCACAGACGATGTACAGGTGGATCAGACTCAATATCTTCAGATATTTCTCTGAAATGTAGGGGTGACTGTTCCAAGCCTAGTCACGCCACTATTGTATTGTTAGATTGTTGGTTGGTTGACGCTGGATTTTGTTGGAAAAGCACCGGTCCAGTAAGCAACTTGCCTCCAGCAGATGACAACAAATTCATTCCGTGTTGTCTGGTGCATCCCGTTATAAATTTATAATAATGGTCAGCGCCTATAAGTATACCAACATCAGTGAGGCAGTCAGAATTTATTTTGTAGTCTGCTAGCCTCATGCGGTTTCATTTAAGATATCTCGCAGTGCGAGCTAATCCTGTGACCTGCAGGTCTGTAGGAAGTTTGTCTACTACTACCGCTTGTATTGGACTAGTGGAAGATCCAAGTCTCACTAATACCTTAACTACTTGGTATTCACGAGGTCCACTATTAGTCAAGAACCCAGAAATATTCAATCTCACACTTTTGGCAGGTTTTAATTTTAACAGCTCGACTAATTGTTGTGTAATGAAGGTTTTCTGTGATCCTTGATCAAAAAGACCTCTAGTGTTAACTCTAGATTTCCTGTTAATTAATCTAAGTTGAGCTGTAGGCAGAGTGGTATTATTGCCTGACTCAGTAGCAAGTACATTTATTTCTTGATGTACCTTGCAATATTGTACTGTGGTAGAATTCGTGGAATTCGTCCCAGTTGTCATGGATTGGGTAGAAGTTTTTCTACATAAGGCATAATGATGTATACCTTTGTTGCATCTACTGCATGAACGTAGTTGCACTACACATTTACTAGGATCATGAGAGCCCATGCACTTGGTGCACCTGTGTATTTCTTGTAACCGTTTAATCCTGGTATTAAAGTTAGGATAAACAGTGCATTGGTAGGTGGCATGTCCTTGACTACAGAACAGACACCTTATCTCTCTGGATGACTTTGTTCCTTTAGTAGACAAGTCATTGGTTACACCAGAAGGAGATACTGAATACGTACCTACATTACCACTCCCTTTTCCAGTGGATTGAGCAGTCCTAGGTTTAAATTTATTAGACTTATTTAAAGTCGTTTTGGGTTTGACTGAAGTGTCAATATGAGCTGAGTTACGATGGGAGTTAGTAGAAAAGTTTGAAACACTTTTCCCATCTTGGTTGACTCTTTGTCTTTCGACTAAGGTATGTAGACCTTCTGTAATTTCTTTCATGGTCAGAAAGGTTTTATTGTACATAGTACACAATTTATCTAAGGTTTCTCTTGGCAATTTTCGCCTAACAACTACTTTGGTCATCCATTCAGCTGTCTGAATTTGGACGTTAAGGCTTAAGGCCTTGAGTAAAGATTCTAACTCTAGCCTGAAAGTTTGGAGAGAATCTGTAGTATTATTAGCAGATGGTAAATCTAGCAATTTTTGAACTAAGACAGTAATAGTTCTCTCTTTGTTATCGTAGTTGGTTTTGAGCAATTGAACAGCTAGGGTGTAACCATCACTGGTCAGTGTTATATTAGAGATTACTTTCAAGGCTTCATGTCGTAACAAGCCTTGTAAATAAGTGAATTTGGTTGTTTGAGGAATGTTGACTTTAGAGTCTACTGCATCCACGAATTTACTCCAGAAATCATCCCAACTTTCATTCTCGTTACCAGAGAATGTGGGTATGTTGATTTGAGGTAATTTGAAATCAGGATCTGTATGTGCAGTAGAAGTTATTGTTAATTTGCTTTTAGCTATTTGCTTTTTAAAGGGTTGCAGCTTAACCTGTATATCATCTTCATACTCGGCTAAGTCATTTACAACATGCTCAAGTTCACTATTACTTATAGAAGTTGAGTGAAGTTCTGTCAAATACAGATTCATATGTTGCTTAATATGGGCGAATTTGATTTCAGCAACTTGAAGTAAATCTTCTAATTCAAAGTAGTCAACAGGTGACTGTTGTGACAGATTTTGACATTTAGTAATCTGTCTGGTGAAATGACCTTTCAGACCGATAAGGGTCCTTTTCATTTTCTCAGCCGTTTCCATTTTGGTGGGTAAAGGCTGGTTTGACAGTAAATAGTTGTTACTGAGATAACTAGGATATTGACTCATTCAATGGAGTTCAATATCAATAATAATAGCCTAATATATTTGAATAGACTACACTACCTCTTTCAGAGGTTAATTTACCTACCTAACAAGAAATAACTAATTATTTTGAGTAGTGCTCGAACTTCACCATTAACTTTCGTCCCGCTAGCTCATCTTTATCACCATTAGATGTAATGGTGATCATTCAGCAGCACTCAAAATGTATACACACAAAATAATGAGTACAAGAAGAAAAAATATGGATATACTCTAATCAGAGTTATCTTAAGGTTTAATCCCACCCTTGATAGGGCCAGCACAAATGAATAATATATGTACTACTAACTAGCTCAAGCCTAGTCATGAGAATTTCTACCTAAGAAACTACAAGTTTATTTAGTCTGTGTTTGTGCCAAATTCAGCACAATCACAGCCTAAATTCCTACCTAATAAAGGTTGGCAATGATTATTGTGGTGCAGTAATGTGAATATATAGTTGTGCTGTATTTTTGTTTTTTTTTGGATTTTATAGTCTATATAAATGTGCCACTTGCACACACAAGTGAAAACAATTATGTACAGTTAAATTTGGCTTGCTAGCCACAGCCGTTTGTGATAATTGATTGTGTTGATCAATTTGTCAACTACATGTGACCTAGACTCACCTGACAGGTGTACACCATCTCTTGCCAGGTTTTGCCTGTATGGTCTGGCTGTAAATTGGATATAAGTGGCATCCAATCGTACTCGTTTTTTCAGCCTGAAGTTTATGTATTTGGCAGCTCTCTGGTAATATTCTGGTGTTACTCCCCAATGATTATCATTACTCAGTTGGCGAGGTTCCACTAATGTGAATACTACCGAATTGCTGATGAGTTTAAATGAAGAAATTATGGTTTTAAAGTGATTAATCACCTCAGCTGGATGACGAGTAGGATAGATGTCATTACCACCTAAATAAATAATGGTTAGATGGTGAGGCCACTCTAACGCAGGTGTTAGTGTGGAATTGTTATAAAAGTTATGAGCTGTTGCTCCTGGTGACCTAAAGATTCTTACTTCAGTATGAGGTATAGGTCTAAGTGTTGTGGGTAACTGACTGTGTCCCACGAGTGCTACCTGATACATGAGGTATAAGTAGCAATGAATTGGTGTGAATTAGTCTAACCTGCGTGTTACGCTGTCGGTAGACACGGTTAATTAATGGGGTTAGTCTAGACTACTTCACACGGTGATTAGTTATTACTAATTAGTATGTATATATTTATATTTACGTTTATCCGGTTCGATAAGGACCATAATGTGGGACATCTGGGCTTGACTCAATTTATTTAATTATTAAATTAATGAAATCAATTACGAAGGACCACCCACTTTTAAGAAAAGAGGAAAACTAATAAAAAGTGATCATTAGAAACACAAGGAAGAACCAGTGTCTATGGATTAATATTAGAAAGGATAATCACTTAAATAATTAATGGGCTGTATGGTTAATTAACTAAATTCAGAGCCTCAAACACCTACATTGGGGGGGGGGGGGATTGCTAGAACTTCATATACGTCTAGGAACTAGTGTGGTTCGTACACCAGTTCATTGTTTGATAAATAATATTGTGACCAAAATATTAAAGAATCAATAGGCGATTACCACCAGAAATTATAAAGATTATTAGCATTAGAAAGTAATCATCTAAATAAACACATATTATCTCCAGTGTACATGACGAGTATTTAATTAGATAGAATCATGAACAAATAGCAAAAATTGGAGTAATTAAATGTGTACAAAAAGTCTTAGCTTTAAGACGATTTCTATGACATCATTCACGCCTCGTCCTCGTGATCTCAGGAATTCCTCGTAGAAGCCCTTAGAGGTGAATAACACGAATGTAGGTAACAGCTCGTTGACTCCTCACATACGAGCTGTAATTTAAGGGATATTACGTAGCATTGAACTAGGCTACTTAAATCTCAATATTCAAGAAATATAAAATAAAAATTAGTGCGGTACTAATGTTGGATTTTTTGTAGTCGTTCGATAAAATGACAGGCTGCCCACGACATATACAATCTCTAATGATGCATCAAAAAAGAACTATATACTTATCGAAAGGTGCAAATTATGCTGAAGCCTGCCGGTATCGCGTCTCAGGCTCAAACTTCCACAATGTCGTTCACGTGGTTGATAGCTTGGCTTGAATATCGACGCGTTATTAGTTGACCGAGCACTGCAGATCACGTAGAACAATAATAATTCATTCTGGGTTGAGTATCAGTGTAATTCTTGCTGATAATCTCAACGTCACGTGTCTCAGACTCTGACGCCACGACTTTTGTTGCTCAATTCCGCAACACGAGTACACCACACACACACACAATGGCGTCCCTCCTCCCTCTTCAACCTGCGTCCCGCATTCACCACAGAAATTATTTATCACGAATATTATTATTTCGCGCAATTGTGGCTGAAAGACTTTAATAAAGACTGGGTTGTAATTCTAGGGATTTAAATATTATTACTTTCTTGTCTTATGGTGGTAAACAAGAAATGGAGAAGATTTTAGTTTTCTCCATGGCATTCACGTGTGACGGTAAATTTCTTACTTGATAACAATTGTAACTAAAAACTCTCGATTTAGAATTATCTGAGTTATGTTATCCATAAATAATTATCACACGGAATTCTGATGGTTTTAGAGAATCACATTCAATTCTCTAACACACTGGCTATAAATGTGTTTAACTAGGTATAATCTGATGCAATACTGGTGCTTGGTTTCGTAAGAATTCCAGTATCCATATGCAGATATAATAGTTTATGTGAACATTACTGTTAGTAAGTTTTAGTAACTACTATAGTTAGTATATTTTAATACTGATTTATTATAATACAATAGTATTGTATTAGTGTTGGAAATTTCCAACATACATTAAAGGATGTGACCGAAATGGGGAAATCAATGACCCCCAGCACGAGTCTTCTTTATTTCCTGACTTTTTTTCACTTGAGAAGAAAGTTGAATTAACTCTGCTAAGCTCATTTTTAATTTTAATTGTCTGACACAGAGATGCATTTGGTTAACTCTTTGTTAGCATTGTCCAAGGCAGAGTTCAGATTATTTCAGATTAAACGCAGATTATATATTTTCCTGCTTCATGATATATACCCGAGGATGAAGTGAAGAAGATGACCTGAAGATGATGAGTTGAAGTACCTCACTTATAAGTCAATTGTATCTTGTCAATCACCTGTTTGCATGTTGGCTGGGGCAATATGCTGTATGTTCCTTCGTGTTCTGGAAGTTGGTAGAGTGTAATTTGCTTCTAGTTGGCTATTGATGCATGCCTTGGTTTGATGCATGGCCTGGTTTGTTTGATGTATAAATCTTTGCCGATGTTCATTCAGTCTTCTGTTGTCGCCGTATCTGTCATTTCTTTTGGTGTTTGCCAGAATTTCTCTGGTGATGGTCTGGTTTTGTATAGAGTCTATAGGTGTTTCTTAATAAGACTTGCTGCTTGTGTGTTGTTAGGGATCTTGAGATTGATGTTGTTGTCTTCCCTATATACAATTCGTTTGGACTTCATAAGTCTTCTAATGTGCATGTGAAGGCATAGACAAAATTCAGATCTCTATTTTTTTTGTGTGTGTCAGGGAAGTTGTTCGAGAGCAATTTTGGCAGTCTTCTTGCTCTTATAGTATAATATTTATTCAATCTTCTGGTTGGTGTCATTTGTCGGAAATCCGACACACAAAATAACATAAGTTACCCATTCAAGAACTCAGAGAACGTGTATTCTGTGATGTCAACAACAAGATGTATCTTTATATAAACTCCATTTCATTTAAACAACAGTCTAGTGTTTAAACTTAATAAAAAGGTGTTCACTAGGAGTGAATATAAATTCCAACACCAAAAGTACAGCTTGACTCCTTTGCTACTGTGACGCAGTTCCCCCCTTATAATTCTCCCACGCCTGCAGTAAGAGTCATGTCTACTTTTCCCAAGCGTTCTCTACGTTGCAGGCTACAATTTGATATATGGGAGAGAGTGAAGTGTTCTCGGAGAGCCGAGAAATTTGTGAAATAGTAATATTTTGGCCTGTGGTATAGGCCCTTTAGGGAGCCAAGATGGCGCTTGCCTCCCTGATTTCCCGTTAAAACCGTGTGACGTCAGTGGCACCGGATTGGTCACCGACAGCAGTGTGGCACCGGGAGCCAATGAAAACCTCCCGTGGCGAAAGTGACGTCACGAAGGAAGGGGGTCCGGCCTGCGAGCCGAGCTGGCGCCATCAGTCAGACACGACACGTCAAAGAGGTCGGACGTGCGACGATTGGTCCTGTCAGTTTGACAGTTGTTTCCCGCTCCCGTGGATTTACGCGTCACCTGAAGTCCGCCAGTACTCTGAGAGGTCTTCCCTAGTTCATGTGTTGAACCAGAGAGGGAATCGACGGTTATTTGAGCAACAAGTGCTCCAGTCAGGTACTGTGCAAGAAGCAGTGAAGCCGTGCAGTGACGTACGTGACGTCTGTGGCAGTTCACCAGTTCGTGACAGCGTAGTGGCTGACAGAGCCACTGGGTAGCTGAGGAAGGAGAGGACTATTTGGGGAATCCGGACGACTGTAGCTGAGACGTAGGCGGCAGCCGTTGATGGGAGAAGACGACGGCCAGGAGACCGACTCCAACCTTCAAGAAGTCAAGAAGGAGGACGGACCTGCAGTGAGGAGGCACGGAGACGACGCGCTAAACGGTGGGACGACGAGAGGCTCTGGTAGGACACGACGACGTGTCGTGTGGGGGCGTTCCCGACACGAGGACCAGGAGCTACATCTCGACTCTCATCGGAGGATAGGTTGAAGTAGGTGTTTCTATTTCCCTCCCCATTCCCCTTTAGTTAGCTATATTATTCGGCTATATTATCTAGCCTGAGGATTTTATATGTCGTGAGCAAGTCTCACCCATGGCACGGTGAAGCACCAGTGTGCGAGACAGTACTATCAAGAGTGCTTGTAATATTCATGTTTATTATTGGTGTGTACAGGCACCAGGAACAAGTGGTAAATTTACTGTGTATTGTATATCTTTCTACAGATGTTGAGGTGAACATATAGTGATAAATTATATATAATATTATGCCAGAATTTGGAAGTTAGGCTACGTGCCCAGAAACTATTTATTTCCCATGTATTGATGTTTGATTTATATACCATATATATGTCTATGTTCATTCAGTGAATAATCATTTGTGAGTACAGTGAATTATTGCGTTATCGCCCACGAGAGAAAGTACTGAAAACTCCAGTGTTAATATTTTATAATATGTCATTGAATGAAGGGCAGTGAAATCCATTACAGTGAATCATTATAGCATTGATTGTAGAAACGACTGTTTGAGCCTGAGTATAGTGTAACTAAGTGATATGTGCTATTGTGCCAATATCGAGTGTGCGAGTTTATAGTAATATTGGAGAACTTAAAGAAACGGCGCGCGTGAATCTGTAAACAAGCAATAATCTTTCGCCCGCGGGGCCAGGCGGTCAGCTGTTCTTGACATTTGACAAGGAGGGGAGGTGTTGCCACTCAGTGATCGCATACTATCCGTGGGAACTACCGGCCGCGTCAGGATCAGTTGATTTATTTTGTTATTATTTGGCCTTGTGACATCTTTCATACATTTTAAGTAAAATACAAAATTACCATTGTGTTTTTATCATCTCCTCCATTGATCTTGTGGCTATATTATACTGAAAGCATAGAGTGATAACAATAAGTACCTGCCTGATTCCTGATCTTTTAAGTGTGACCTTGCCAAGGCTACCACTAATTCCACCAGTCCACTGATGGTGTTACTGGCCACCTAAAACACCAGTTGGCGACCTTGTGGTCAACCGTAGAGCCCGATTGTTGGGGAGGGCACACGACAGTCAAGTGAACGAGTCGTGTTCCCACTCTTTCTTAATCAGAGGCCGTTAAGATTGACGGGGAGACTCTCCTGGCGTGCAGTGGCGCCGTGAGGATCGAGTGAAGACCCGCAGGGCTACGGTGAGTGACCTTGAGCATAACTATTGCTCACCCCAGA